AATATATAATAGTACGTATGTTATAATTACATGTTACCAATTTACAGCCAAAATATAATAGAAAACTTTGAATGTTGATCAAATTACTAATATTCACAAACTTGCAAAAGCTATCGCCTACAATTATGAACTAGAATTAAAACTAAAATAAAATATTTCAATGAGACAATCTTGAACAGTTGCTTGATCCACCAGATAATCAACAAAGTTCTCACCAATTTCCTAACAAAAAAATCACATAGCCTGAAAGCTAATATTGAATCTATTTATGTATTAAATTATGTATATTTAATATTGAGGAGGGGTAAAGTAGTAAATAACTATCGTCTTATTGGGTTATCGATTTACCCAATAACCCAATAGGAAAAATCGAAACCGACCCAATAATTCAATAATTATTTTTTCTAAACCCATTAAAAACCTAATAACCTAATAACCCAATAACATTTTATCGGTTCAGTTTATTGGTCGATTCGGTTTTTACACACCCCTATTTTAAGGGTTTTGTTTAGGTTCAAAATTCTTTTAATAAATTATTATGATATAATTAAAAATTCTTTTGTCGTTATTATTTATTAATCAAAAGAAGATACCAAAATTTGTACATTTAAAATATGAGTTAGGAAATTGCCACCCTTTTTGTATTTGTATGTGATCATGACATAAATTTGGTTATAGCTACTTTTTTTATCACTTGTTTTTGTTGGAAATCAATTTCCTCAAATAATATGATATTAATGTAAATATGACAATATAGTATAATGTTTTATAACTCATTTGTATTATTCAAAAAATGACATGATAATTAGAATAAATTAATTGTTTGAAAAATACTTTCGCCATTCATAATTGTTTAACAAGTATACTAAAAATAGATATTCAAGATTAATCATCAATTTAAATAATTAAAAAATAATTAGTCATTTTTTTCAATTCTACACTTAATAATTACTCCATTTTGTTCAATTAAAAAGTTATGTAGATTTTTTATATTTTTGATATATTAGCATTATATTAGTCAGAGTACACTTTGTATTAAATTTTCTTTGACGAAAATGCATGACCTTATCTTGACAAACAATTGTGGACTAAAATCTATATCTCTAATTAAATATATTATTTTTACTTAACAAAACACATAAAAAAAAAGAAATCATTGTTATTATTTAGGAAAATATTAAATATACTATGTTTACTTATCAAAACACATTAAAAAAAAAGAAATCATTTTTATTATTTAGGAAAATATTTTCTATAAAATAAAATCCATGAAAATATTATTTTTTTTTACACCAAACACTCCATTGAGTTTCAAAATTGAAATTAAATACTTCTAATTATTTTGGAAAAAAATAAATTTAAAAGTTGAAATAATAGACCACATCTTCAAATACTATTATTTCAAATTATCACATTCATTTTTTCATTTCAAAATTTGTTTACTATTACAAGTGGATGAAAATTTATGAAATAAAATGTGGATGACAAAGAAATTAGTAGGCAAGATAAAATCAAATCTAGCAAGTTGCATAATTTTTATTTATTAAAGGACCATGAATAATAAGTAATACTGTTAGGAAGATATGAGAAAAAAAAAGGAAAAAAATGTATTTGTCACATCACCAAATTAATATCTTTTTGTATCTCAACTAACATCATGCCCAAAGTAATTAATCACATGCATGAGCATGACCACAAATTGAAGTAGCATTTAGGACCCACAAAATCATAATTAGGTATGTTAATCAATATGATAATTAATAATGTGAAAAGGAACATATATTATACATTTTCTAGAGTTTTCGACTCCTTATAATCGTTGTGATCCATTTGATAATATATAAGTACGTGGACTAACACGATACGTAGCTATTCGTTTTGTTAAGAAAATACACAATAAAAAATAAATTCATGTACACTTATATTTGGGATAGTATGATATTCTAATCAACTCTAATATTTTCCTCCATGCTCATATTCAAGTTGGTCAAAGCGCGGATTGAAAATTCAAACAAAATATAAATCTGACTTTGATGTTATATGTTACAAAATATCTAGTTAGTGATAATATTGATCATTTCAGACTTGGATTAGCGAGATTTTAAAATGCATTACTAGGGATGTAAGATATGTCTATTTATATATCGACATATCTTTAATGTTTTTGCTGATGAGGGCCCCTCGTAAGCTAGATAGTTACAACATATGTTGAAAATACCTCAATCCATGAATAAGTACGCATCAGACATACACACACTCCCGTATATAAATGGATTCGAACCTGCAATCTTCAGGTCATGAGCCTGATGAGTTGACCAATTCCTCTACCCCGCTTCTTCCCCTTCTCTTTCGAACTCCGATGTCACTATAGCGGACAGTGAAAACTCTGATAAAGAATACTTGAACAAGGGTAGAACAAATCTAAGTTCTTTATACGATTTGAACATTAATTTATCTTTTTTTTGAACTAACTTTAGGTGATGAATTAGATCAAAATTCTAAGATAACAAGTGTTTTATCGTAATATGAAACTGATTTAAACAAATTTTTGATCAAGAATATTAATATTAAATTATTTTAATATAAATCTAAATTTAATCAAATTTCAATATTATTATTTCGAACAATGAGGCATGTGGAAAATTTTATATTCCATTGACATCCTTGTCATACACAACTGGGAGTGATGGGGAAACATAGTACGTAACATACAGTGGCTAATAAATTAATTCTATATTCTTTATTCTAAATAATTTGTGATTCGAATACTTTCCACGCAATAATATTTTAAAAAGTTATTCCAATGCCCAACGAATATGACAGAAATTGAATAAAAATATATTATAAATAATTTATTATGATAGTAACAACAATTTACTGTTTGATTTCTTTCTGTAAAAAGGAGAATATCTTTTTTTTTTCTAAAGAGAAAAAAATTAAAATAAACTGTGGTTGTTGACACAGTTGATTGAATTATTTAGGATGTGAAAAACGTGGTTTTGTTACAACCATAGTTTATAGAATTATTCTCTAGTATGTGTGTAACAATTAACTATCAAAAGTAAAATAAGTTACCTATATATTATCGATATAATTGCAGTGCAGTGATGAGATTGCTCAACTCTTAATAAAAGATTTTGAATTAAAGCTTCGCGTACGACAAATCTTGTCGGAGCATTACCTCAAATAAATTTTATAGTGCGTGATTCGAATTTAATCGAGATTCTGATAGTTTCGCAAAGAAATTACTTATATATCATGCATCATGACGGGAAAAAGGAATATACCTATAATGAGAGTTGTGCCCTCGTTTGTTATGTTTTGTTAAATTTGTTGAAATAAATACGTTTTATTATATATTTTTTTTACTACTTAAGATTTGAACTCAGAATTTCTAATTAAAACTAAGAAGAAATCTCGTTCATTTCGTCACAATTTTGATGATGTTATATATGAGTGATAAAATTAGTCAATAAAATGTGATTTGCTCAATCTATTTAAATCTAAACATATCATGTCATGATTTATTATTTAACTTATTGTGATTCAATTTATTTCAGCTCAAATGACTATATCCTTCCAAAAAAAGTCTTCATCTATTATTTTAATTAGCCTATTAAGAACCTCTAATTATATATGTTGGTTGGCCAAGGAGAAAGGGAAAGAAAGCTACCTAAAACAAATTGTGAAAAACAAATAAACATAATTAGGGAAGACCAATGAAATAGCCAAAAAAGTGTAACACAATTATTATTGATTTGAGATTCCATGTCTATATTTTCAATTTTGGTCCAACCAACTAGAGAAATATCTTGTGATAGACAAAAAATCTCCATTCAAATTATTTTGGCCTTTTCACACTAAAGTCCTTCCTTTAATTTCTTATATTTTGAAAAGTTTGGACAAAAGAGAAAAAAAAAACACTAAACTTAGTAATTGTGACACCATCTTAATTTGTTATTAAACAACATTATTAAAGAAGTAAGAAAGATTAAACTATATCATTTAATATATCAATTGTAGCAAAAATTTAATGCAAATAAAAGATTAATTTTAAAACAATAACAGTTAAGAATCAAGATTAAAGATGACAAATATGTACATAGGCTCGATATTATTTATGTATCATTTTCGTGCCGGATTATTTGCGTTTACTTATCTTTTTAGACTACTTTTGAAAAAAAAAAAGTTCACTATATTCTCAATAGGATAAATTTGCATCTAAAAGCAAATAGGATGATTCTTTTCTGAGATAAAATTTAATCCACACAAAAGGGCTATTTTATGCAATTTTTGTGTCAGCTAGCTATATTGACCATTTTATTAAGATGTAAAATGTGAGCCCAGCAATAGTTAGTGAAGTCAGCCCAATTAAACAATGTTTTGGCCCTTATCTGGTCTATTAATGGGCCTAGTTAGATGCTATGTTAGAAGTTGTTTCTGATGGAGGTTCGATTCAACAATAAATAATACGATAAGTAGGAGAAAAAACGTGTAAATACTATAAATAAGAAAAAAATAGATAACTATTTATTAACTTTCTATGATATTCTTATATTTAAAGTCATGTTCGCTTTAAATTGCATGATATTCAAATTCTGTTTAATCATCCTTTTCAATACTTTTACAACTTACCTCTGATCTCGATCTCTTCTCATACCTATCATAACCAACCTTTTATGTCTTCTCGCATCTGGACATCTATTTTTTTACAAACTTAAATCATTTTATCCTTCAATTTTTTTTTTCTACTAAAAAAATCACTCTCATATTATCTCGAATATCTTCGTTCTTAATTTTCTCTCTCGCATAGAATATCTACTACACATCCATCTTCCTTTTCGATAATTCTATTACAAACAATCACTTTACAAAATTTAGCTTCATAGAATTTAAAGTTATATGTACGAAATATATTAAAGTTAAAATACAATAGAAATGATTGATTTTTATTTTATTTTTACATACAAATACCCTAAAGTTCAAAGTAAATAAAATTTAGCATAACTTTTTTATTAGTGATATCCTCTCTATTATTGGCCTAAAAAGTTGTTCTTCCTCAGCAATGAGCTCTTCATCAACCTTTTTCCTCACCAACTCCTTTTCATCGGTTTCGGGTTCTACCCATCTCCGCCGTTTATTCAACAATGTTAGGTATGGCAGCGGCGGCGGCGGCGGCGGAGTTAGAATTGCCGCTAGCCTTAATGTGGAAGTGCAGGCACCGGATTTGAGCAAAGAGGTGATGGATGAATCTAACAAGGTTTTTGTGGGTACATATGCTAGGGCTCCATTGGTTTTGTCGAGTGGCAAAGGGTGTAAATTGTACGATATTGAAGGGCGAGAGTATTTGGATTTGACCTCTGGTATAGCTGTGAATGCACTTGGACATGGTGATTCTGATTGGATTAGGGCAGTTACTGAACAAGCTAATGTCTTAACTCATGTCAGCAATCTTTACTATACTCTCCCTCAGGTCAGCTCTTATTTTGTAGAGTATCTGTTTATTATAAATTTCATTTGGGAATCATTGTGCACAGGGATTTAAAAAGGGGATTTTCAAAAAATAGTTTCTTTAGTGATAATACAAGTTTTATTCTCTCTTTTTTGGGAGTTTTATAGTGAATAGGGATTAAAAAAAGAGTTTTTTCAGCTTTTTACTGGTATTTTTGGAAGAAAACGTGATAGAATAGAGTGGGATGGATATGAATGATCATGTAGGAAAGCATGAGACTAATTCTACGGGATACTTGTCACCTCCCACCAGCAACAGGTATGTGTGCGGCCTATGTTGCTCTGTCTCTTCAAAAGATGCCAATGGGTCGCGTTGGATCCTCCAAAAGTAGTGCATTTTTGAAGGATCCGACATGGGTGCAGCAACATTTTAGGAGAGCCTGTGCAACATAGTGGTATTGGATAACTCTGTCCCCCAAGGCTAGAACAGATGGAAAGAAATTGCTTTGTGTTTTTTGTCGGGATTTAACCTTAGACCTTGTGATGCTTAACTCACTTCATTAGCCACTAGGCTACACTCTTTGGTACTTGTTGTTTTGGTCTCTTATGTAGTCAGAATGAGGACAGGGGACATTACTCGATTCTATTTAATGTTCAAGTTTTCTAGCTCTTGTTAGAATGTGTAGTCTTTGAATAGAAGTGTTAATGGTTCTGGGTTGAAACGAAAAGCAAATAGCAGTATCATATTGTGGATGGTATGAAGCGGTAATTGGAACTTACTAGCAGTGTGTAAGTTTCTTTGTTTCTGGATTTTTTTGGGGGGGAGATGTTGGCTAGAGGGTCTTATTCAGGAGCTGAGCTTTAGAAGAATTTATGGGTTCACAGAACGGGGTAGCTTTAGTCAAAACCTTGTACTATTTGTCTTATGAAAATTTACTATATATATTTATGTGTGTAAATTTAATTTATCAAAAACCCAGTGTAAGGCTGTAAGTTACATTTTTTAGAATGCAGAATCCGTAAACTCAAAATTTTTGCTTCGCCTCTGGTCTTATTTTGTAAAGCGTTCCTGAACATGTTTGTTCTTCTATGTCTATAATTTGATATATCAACTTAGTTACCTTGTTAACTGTAACTTTGTATATGATTAATTATTATGGCTTCAAGGGGCATCTTTTCTCCTCCATTTGGAAAAGGATCTTTTAATATAACAGTAACATAGTGTTCTATTATTTCGTACAGCTGGAGCTTGCAAAACGCCTGGTTGCTAATTCTTTTGCAGACCGTGTTTTTTTGTCGAATTCTGGAACAGAAGCAAATGAAGCTGCAATTAAATTTGCAAGGAAGTTTCAGAGATTTTCTCATCCCGATGAGAAGCAGCCTCCTGTGGAGTTCATTGCCTTCTCCAATTGCTTCCATGGAAGGACCATGGGTGCCGTTGCTTTGACAAGCAAAGAATATTACAGGTCACCTTTTGAACCTATAATGCCAGGAGTTACTTTCCTGGAGTATGGTAATGTTCAAGCAGCAAAAGAATTAATTCAGAGTGGTAAAATAGCTGCTGTATTTGTCGAACCAATCCAAGGTGAAGGTGGTATATATAGTGCAACACAAGAATTTTTACAAGCACTGAGGACTGCCTGTGATAGTGCAGGTTCTCTCCTTGTCTTTGATGAGGTAAGAAACTTTACAGATTACATTGCTACCACTTTAGTACATTAAGCTTATGTCTCATCTGACATGTATAACAAACCCTTGTATTGATGAAAATTACAATAACATACAAGCAGTTACCTTGACCAGTAGCGCATGTCTTTGTAAAGTAATACATTGTATTATTTTCATAAGGTAATTTCTCTAGGATTCATCAAAAGAAAACATATGAAAATGTTAGCTTGCATAGTGAAATGGATAGAAAAAATCAGCATTTTGTACTTGGGTCATTTGGTTGAGAAATAAGTTATGCAGGGATTGTACTGGTTAACATTATTTCAATGATGAATAGTGGTTTCCAATTACATCATAAGGAAAAAGCTTACTGCTCTTGTTGTTTTATGTATACTCAATTCACCATAAGCTGGCAGATAGGACTAAGGTTGTTCATCCACTAAGAGCAATATATTGCCTAAGATTGGTTTATATATTTTGTGTAGATAAATAGCTAATTGATGAAATATGAACACCATCTACTTGTAAAATAAAGTTTAGAAATTATACATGTGACAGCTTCTTGGGTTGTTAACGCTTTCTCCTTCCAACTGTGATAGTGATCATTCTGGATTTCAATTGGATGGAATGAATCAACGGTCGATACTATACTGAAGCTTTTACTTGTATTTTCTTTTATTAGGTTCAATGCGGCCTAGGAAGAACTGGTCATCTTTGGGCGCATGAAGCTTATGGCATATACCCAGATATAATGACTCTTGCAAAGCCTCTTGCAGGAGGTCTACCTATTGGGGCAGTGTTGGTAACTGAAAGAGTTGCTGCTGCCATCAATTATGGGGATCATGGTAGCACCTTTGCTGGTGGTCCCCTTGTTTGCAACGCTGCAGTTGCTGTGCTGGACAAGATCTCCGGACCAGGTTTCCTTGCCAGTGTCGCAAAGAAAGGTCAAGATTTCAAGGAATTGCTGGTTAAGAAATTAGGAGGGAACTCACATGTGAGAGATGTACGAGGTGTGGGGCTTATTATTGGGATCGACCTTGATGTACCAGCATCTCCGCTGGTTGAAGCATGTCAACAATCTGGCCTTCTTGTACTGACAGCAGGGAAAGGAAATGTTGTGAGGCTTGTACCACCATTGACCATCACCGAGCAAGAATTGGACCATGCAGCTGAGATCTTATTCAATTGTTTACCTGTACTAGATAAGACCGCCAATAACTAGGCTCAAATACTCAAAAAAGGGTTTGTTGCATGTTCACTTCTATGGGGAGCTTCACAGGATCATATGCATTTGCTCATGGAGATCACTTTCATGAGAAGTAACACAATTTATTTGTACGTACAGTTTAAGGTATCGTCTTCTATGAAGCTCTTGTCGTACCTGATTGTGTCATTCTGAGGCTGAAGATTCATTTAGGAGCAAACTGGCTATCAGAAATACACAGTTGATCTTATTTAGATTTTTCCTGTAGAAGTGAACAATCAGTTTTTAAGTTTTAGATGTATCGTCAATTTGCACCAGCTGAATCGAAATAATGGATGCTGTCCTCTGTAATAACATTATATCCATCTTTCTGAAATGTAGAACTTATCTATGTAATCTTGTATGCGTCATGAACAGAAGTCTTGTACATCAAGTGAATAGTGTTGCCTCGCTTTAGATAGGGTAAGAATATGATTTTCCATATTGAACTTCAAAAGAAAGGAGGAGAAGACAAAGCAAGTTATATTTAACTATTAAGATGAGATCATGTGTTGGTGCATAAATTTTCAAGTGAAAACGTTTCACTTAGATCTACTCTGCTTGCCCTCTCATGACAATGGTACAAGTTGATTGTTGTAGAGATGTGGATGTTAAATATAAAAATGTGCTAAAATAGTGGAGTAGCATTATAGGCACAATATGTAATAACTTTAAGCATGTTATGAATATCTCAAAAATGAATAATATAGTTGCCTATGTAGTCACGTATATTAAAAGGAAATATAGAGAAATGATTACTAAAATATCTTCTATCACACTTATCTGGAATCAGTCACTTTCAATTCACAAGAATACAAATTAGTCAAAGAATGCCTGCCTCACAACTAATAGATAACTATTTATAACTTCATTATCTAGCTAATGAGGTTACTCAAACAAATCCAGTAAATATATGTCTAAGAAAAAATAAACTTGTTAATTAGTAGGCCATGGCTCTGCCATTTGAAATTCTTTTCCTGCTTCCATTTTTCCTTTTACCCTTAACTTTTTTCTACTTCAAAGTTCTCAGATCATCCGAAATCACACAACTTCCACCAGGACCAACACCATGGCCAGTCATAGGAAACATTTTTCATATGGGAAAAATGCCTCATATAACTCTGACAAATTTTGCAAAAATATATGGCCCTCTCATGTCCCTGAGGCTTGGAAGTCAATGTCTAGTTGTTGGATCATCAACTTCTACTGCTATAGAAATCCTCAAAACCCATGATAGAATTCTGTCAGGGAGACATGTTCCAAATGCTGTTCCAGCAAAAAGATCAGATCTTGACAAGATATCAATGGGCTGGACTTCTGAGTGTCACAATGAATGGAGATACTTGAGGACTTTATGCAGAGCTGAGCTGTTCTCAGGCAAAGTATTGGAGTCTCAAGCTTATTTGAGGGAGAAAAAAGTGATGGAATTGGTAGAATTCTTGAGGTCAAAAGAAGGTCAAGTGGTGAATATTGGAGAGCTAGTAGTCTTTGCAACTGTTTTGAACATGTTGAGTAATGTTCTGATATCTAAAGATATGGTTAATTTGGAGAAAGAAATAGAAGATGGTGGGATTAGAAATCTAATAAGGGGATTAGTGGAAGCAATCTCAGCTCCAAATGTATCTGATTTTTATCCAGTATTAGGTAAATTAGATCTTCAAGGTCTGCGAAAAAGAGCTAGATATGTAATGACAGAGATTCGTTCTAACTGGGAACTGATTCTTGAAGAAAGAAGGAAAAATAAAGAGAGTGGTTCTTCTAGCCAACATGATTTCTTGGAAGCTCTCCTTGATAATGGTCTTACCAATGATTGTATCCACCAGTTATTTGTGGTTTGTTCGCTCTCCTTCTCTCGAATTTGCTTTCTGAGATTCAATTTCTGGTATAAACTAAGTTAGTCTTTATAGCAGTATCTGAAAAATGAAAATCAAAGTAATCATGTTAGTCTTTGTGCATATATGCTGTTATACAACTAATACCGAAGCATTTAGCCTCCTTAGTACTTCTCTTTTTAAAGTTCATATATTTAAGAAAGTTGGAGTTCTTTATTCAGATGTAGTGTATGACAAGTATTTCTTCTAACCATGTGAAGGAGTTAGTCTCTGCTGGTTCAGACACCAGTACCTCAACAATTGAGTGGGCGATGGCAGAACTGATAAAAAATGTAGAGACAATGAAGAAAGTTCAAGAGGAGCTCGAGATAGAACTCAGTGAAAGTGATTACCCAAAAGAATCTCAATTGCTGCAGATGTCCTATGTCCAAGCCTGTGTGAAGGAAACACTTAGGTTGCATCCTCCAGCACCATTTCTGCTTCCACATCGTGCTATCGAAACCTGCCAAGTGATGAATCACACAATTCCTAAAGACGCTCAAATCTTGGTTAATGTCTGGGCTATCATGAGGGATCCTTTGATATGGGAAGATCCAGAGATGTTTAGACCACAGAGGTTTCTGAGTTCCGATATGGACTTCAAAGGGAATGACTTTGAGTTCTTACCCTTTGGTGCAGGAAGGAGAATATGCCCAGGCCTGCCAATGGCTGCAATAATAATTCCCTTAGTCCTTGCTTCGCTTGTTCATTTCTTTGATTGGGAGCTTCCTCACAGAGAACGTCCCACTGAGCTAGACATGACTGAAAAGTTTGGAGTAACACTGCAAAAGAAAGAACCGCTGCTTCTGATTCCCAAGCCCAGAAAATGACCATTGAGATATACAATCAGTATCTCTTATCTGTGTTATCCGTTGGAAAGTCTATCTGCATTAAAGAACGATAGAATGACAACCTACAAAGAATTTGTTTACCTTTTCCCTCTGTACAGAATGAACAACAGTTGTGTGTCTATGACTAAATGAAGAGCTTTGTCAAAAGAACAATCAATAAACTTGGCTGATAATAAGAGGATGAACTTCCATCAGCATCAAGGGGTGCTTAAACGGGGACTGTGTGCAGCACTGTCGTCCTCTGCTTTGTGATCCTGTAGTCCTCACATGAATACATCTTCAACAGTTCCCTTTTGTGTTATCCCTGTGCATTAGATACAAGTATTTCTTGTCCTCCTGTAATATCGTGTAATCATAAACAGAAGTTCTTTTGGTGATAAGAGACAAGTTATAGTCCTATTAAGACAAGATCATGTGTCAAGTTGCATGATTTCCAAGTAAAAATGTTTCACTTGGGTGTACTCTCCTTACCATTGATGAGAATGGAACAGTATTCACAAGATGATTATCACAAAGATACAGATGCTGAGATGGATGTGCTAAAGTAGTGGCATAACATTTTAGGCAGAACAGGTAATAGCTAGAAGGATGTCATGAGCATCACAAAAACCCAGATAATGATTGTCTACTTATTGTACAAGAGATGTTTGAACCTGTTAATTTTTTGAAAAAAAATAAAGAAATAAAGATTGAAAGTTCACCTATATAAAAAATGAAATGCTCCAATCAACCTACTATAGTCGTTAGTAAGATTTCTGTTTCATGACAAACAGATAGAAAAATTGACACCTTAAATATTTTCCCCTACATCAATCTAGAATAAATCACTTTCAGTTCACAATAATACAATTACAAAATGACTTTCTCCACAAATAGATAAGTACTATTTACTACAGGATCTAGCTTATGAAGTTACTTCAATAAATCTAGTAGAAACTTCTACACTAAAATATATAAGATTTGAAAGAAGAAAAAAAAACTTGTTCATTTGCAGGCTCAGCAATTAGAAATTATGTTCCTGCTTCCACTTTTCCTCTTGGCCTTGACTTTTTTCATCTTCAATATTTTCAGATCATCAAAAACCACACAACTTCCACCAGGATCAACACCATGGCCAGTCATAGGTAGTATTTTTCAAATGGTAAAAATGCCTCACATAACTCTGACAAATTTAGCAAAAACTTATGGCCCTGTTATGTCCCTAAAGCTTGGAACTAAATGGTTAGTTGTTGGATCATCATCTCTTGCTGCTATAGAAATCCTCAAAACCCATGATAGAATTCTGTCAGGGAGAGATGTTCCAAATGCTGCTCCATCAAAAGGGTTAGATCTTGACAAGACATCACTGGGCTGGAGATCTGAATGTAACAGTGGATGGAGATACTTGAGGACTTTATGCAGAGCCGAGCTTTTCGCTGGAAAAGTATTGGAGTCTCAAGCTTGTCTGAGGGAGAAAAAAGTGATGGAATTGGTAGAATTCTTGAGGTCAAAAGAAGGTCAAGTGGTGAATATTGGAGAGCTAGTCTTTGCAACTGTGATGAACATGCTGGGTAATGTTCTGATATCCAAGGATATGGTTAATTTGGAGGAAGAAATAGAAGATGGCGAGATAAAAAGTCTTGTAAGGGGAATAGTGGAAGTGCTCTCTGCTCCAAATATATCTGATTTATATCCTGTTTTAGGTAAATTAGATCTTCAAGGTCTGCAAAAAAAATCTATAGATTTAGTGACAAAGCTTTGTTCCAACTGGGAACCGATTCTTGAAGAAAAAAGGAACAGTAGGAGAACAAGATTTCTTGGTCTCCTTGATAATGGTTTCACCAATGATAGTATCCACCAGTTATTAATGGTTTCTTTACTCTCCTTCTCTCAGAATTTGATTTATAAAATTCATTTTCTGGTATAAACTAAGTACTTAGTATTTGAAAAATGAAAATCAAAGTAATCATGTTAGTCTTGTGCATATCTGTTGTTATACAACTAATATTACCGATGCATTGAACCTTTAGCACTTCTCTTTTTAACTCGAGAAAGTTGGGAGTTTTCTATTGGGATGTAGTATTTAACAAGTTTCCTTTTAACCCTGTGAAGGAGTTACTCTTAGCTGGTTCAGACACCACTACCTCAACAATTGAGTGGGCGATGGCAGAACTGATAAAGAACGTAGAGTCAATGAAGAAAGTTCAAGAGGAGCTTGAGATAGAACTCAGTGAAAGTGATTACCTAAAAGAATCTCAATTGCTGCAGATGTCCTATA